ATTCTGCACAAATCCAGAAGGACAGTGTCTCACTCGGATCCTGCAGCGTTGGTCCATGTATCCATCTTGCTCTGTGCATGAAGTCCACCAGCTCACTCCCAGGCCCCAGTAAGCGTGCACACTTCATGCCCTTGAGTTCTCACAGCCTTCATCCTGAAGCATATCCCTGGATTATACCATAGGTGCACACCTATCCCTGTCCAGGGGTACTTGAGGCCCCTGGACAAGCATCAGCATTTTAATTCTTGCCCCAGAGCTCAGCACTGCTTCTAACATCATTGCCTTCACCTTTCATGCAGACTAGAGCCTTGCTCAGACTCATCAGCCCCAAGACACTATGCCTGCAGCAGCTCTTTGTGAACAGTCTTTCCCAGCAGGTCTCCTCGAGGCCCTGCAGCTGGGACCCAAACACAACCTTCCTCACCTGAACTGAAGCCTTATTTCCTCCCAGATCATTCTGTCTATGAATGATTCTATGGCCACTGAAAAATCGTAACTGACACAGTTGACTTCAAAGCAGTTTGATTTTCACCCTTGCACTTGCAATTTATTTGAACTGCAAAACAGATGCTAATATTACTCTTAAGTTACCAAAAGACAAACAGCAGGAAAAGTCTAAGGGGGGCCATGGCAATCACTGACTCTGAAGTTCCCTGGCTATGATGATCTGCTCCTAAGTGGAGCCTGCTGGGAGGAGTGGTTTGGGACCATGGAGCCTCAGTGGCATTGGAAATCTTGAGACCAAGCCTCTGGTCTGCTTTTCCCTTTCTTGCCTTCGTCTGACTGTGTGGGCATGGGTTGAGGACTTTACTCTCTGCCTTTGTGGCCTTACTTCCATGTATGTGTTTGGATTAGATGATCTCTGAGTTGGCTTCCCTTTCAGATATGGCTGATGTGAAATCAGTAATTCAGTGGTGAATACACTTAGCTTCCCCTTCCGGAGCAGAGCCCAGGAAGGCACAACTGAGCAGAGGAGAGGGTTGCTCGGTTGTGCTCTAATTCCTCAGCAGGTGGCTAGAATCAGTGACAATGGACTTGGTAGTGAAGTGGGGATATAAAACCCCAGAACTGTTTGTCATAAAGAATCCCATGCCCAATAAAAGCAAAGGCAGATGTTCACATAAAGTTTTTGCTGTTTGTGCTTTGGTGGGGGGACTTTCTGGGCATGAAGTTTATTAGTAAGCCAGAGCAGCATCTGCCCACGCATGTTGCCACAAAATTTCAGTCTTACAGCCCATTTATGAGGCTGGGATTATTTTTGTTAATGATTTTCATGGGTGTAGATGAAATGCAATGAGTAGCAGCTGTGACTCTGTTTATCACTCAGCTGCCTTCCAGAGGAGCCCCCCACCCTGCCTCCAAACCCACACATCATGGATGTCTTGATTATCAAAGAGGTTATTGTATCACAGAGTTTTAAAGAGCTGTATTAGTTTCCTGATGCTGCTGTAACAAATAGAACTGAGTGCTTTAACACAACACAAATTTATTCTTACAGTTCGAGGGATCTGAAGTCCAAAATGAGTCTCACAGGGTTAAAAAAATCACAGGGTCATGTGTGAATATGTTGGGATGAACCCAACTACTAAATATAACCATACAGGTCTAATAAAAATTAAATTAGAACAATAAAAATCACAGTTTCAATATACCTGTATTCCTTCTAGAGGCTCTAGAAAGAGAACCTATCTTCTTGCCATTTTTATCCTAGAGGCCACCTGCATTCCTTGACCATGCCCTTTCCTCCACCGTCAAAGTTAACTATTATCTTCTCTACTCTGACCTATTTCCATCCTTGTCTTTTCTCTACGTCTCCAACCCTTCTATCTCCCTCTGTGAGGGCTCTTGGGAATTACATTGGCTTACCCAGAAAGTCTCCTTGTGTCAAGATCTCCAATTGCAATCTGCAAAGTACATTTTCCCATGTGTGCTAGTCAGTTTTCTATTGCTATAACAAGACACCTGAAATAATCACCATAAAAAGAAAGGTTTACTTTGGTTCACAGTTTCAGAGATTTCTCTGTCCATTGTTGGTTAGCCTGGGTTCTTCCATGGCTTCCCTGCCTGTCCACCCAGCCTAATTTGAGTCTGTGGCAAGGCAGAACATCATGGTGGGAGCACATGGTCAAGGAAGTTCCTTACTTTCTAATGGTTAAGAAAGAAAAAGAGGAAGAGGAACAAGTGGGGTCTCATAATCCCCTTCAAAGACACATCCCAGGGACCTAAAACCTCCTACTCCATTCTTCCTCTAAGAGGTTTCTACTACCAGTAATGCCAAGCTGAGGACCAAAGCATTAACACATGGGCCTTTGGAGTATATTTCAGATCCAAACTATAGCATATTTACAGTTTCTGAAGTTAAGATGTAGACATATTTGGAAAGAAGCCATTTGTTATTCAGCTGACCATAGGAGCCATAGACACCAACCAAGATCCAAGGGATCTGTGGCTTTGACCACACGGCTAACATGTGGCAGTGCCATGACTGTATCCCTGGCATCCTCCCATGTGCCACTTGACATACATCAAAGAGAGATAAAAGGATGTCCCGATGAACTTTATTTTAATAATAAACTTGAAATTATTGAAGAGTAAGTACAGGATTAAGTCAAGGTACATTGTAAAGGTACATTCAGAATGCAAGAACCTCCTTAGATCTTGTAGTTTTGCTAGGACATGGTGACTTGTAAAGATGTTGAGTGATTTGCAGTGATGACAGTTTAAACAATGGTAAGAAATGAGAGAGCTAAGGAATCACATGCATGTATGTAAATGTTCTTGCCTTGATGCCTTCTCTTTCTCCTCCCCTTCTTTCTCCTTTTCCCTCTGTAACTCTGGTCATTGCTGCCATTTTGAAAATCATTACCTGCCAGAAAGCCAAATCAAACTCTTTAAACTAGATGGAATGGAGTCACTGAGTCTTACTGGCATGAATTAAACTAAATCATTATTATTACTAAATTATTATTATTATTTACCATATTTCAAAATGAAGTCTATCTTATGTTGGTATTTGTCTGGGAATCCAAGGAACTTGATTTTGGTTCTCCCACTTTTACTCAGTGTTGACTGGAACCAATAAAAGGGTCAAAGAATTTAATTTTGGATTTAGAAGGCATTAGACAGACCATTTTGCCCAATTCTCCTCCTGAATTAGAGGACTTGTGTGACTGGCAAGAGATTTCCAGATTCCTCAGTTTTCTCTGTCCATATTATGGACAGGAATGAGAGCTGCTATAAGTTACAGGCTAATTCAATTTGAGCTTCTGAGAGGGTATGCACATGTAGGAGGGCTATATTCTTCTCCAGGAATAATCCCTGGCTCAACCCCACCAGGATGGGATTGGGTGGGTGCCCCTCACCTATAGTCTCATGACACACTTCAGTGTGACTTCACCTCCCTGGTGAGTTCATTGTTCTTGTGCTTATCTGCCTTTGCCATGATTTAATCTAACTCAGGGCTGGGCATAAGGTAGCTCACTCTACAAGCTTTGGATGGATTACAGGATGAATGGCCATTTAACTTAAGGGACACCTGGGGAACACATTGATCCTGCACCTCGTACTTAAAAGGACAGTGCAAGACTGAAGGACTAGTTTCTCCAGTATTGTAAAATGAGTAGGTTCATGTTCCCCTTTGTCCTGTGAACCCTCTTATATAGAGGAAACTAGGAATAGAAATCCATAGAGACTTATCCTAAAAGGCGTTTTAATGTGATGCTGGAAATGAGCACACAGCTTTTTTTTTTTTTTTTTTTTTGATATTTGCACTCAATATTCAATGTCATTTTTTTCTGCCTATCAAATGATCACGTTCTTCAGCTGCTGGAACATTAGGTTAATGACACAGAGCTGAGCCAAACAAAGACAGAGCCAAGTTGCAAGCTCCTGTCTAGCATTGATTGGGGGGGTCATAAAAATAATTCATTCCCTGGGTTTGATTTTGACAACCCAAAGAAAAACACCTTGGATGTGTTGAATGACAGACACTCTCTCTGAAAAGCTTCAAATATCTTCTAGATGGGACAAAGCTGATGCCCACAATATTCCTGCCAAGTAGGAAAACAGAGCATCAACTCTGGAATTACTAAAATATTTGGTGTAGCTCGGACAATTTGCAAAGATGATAGGGTTTCAAAGACAATGAAAGCTGAAGGATATGAAATTGATAAACCCCAAGACAGTGTGTGACCTGGGAGGAGGGAGAGGAAGAGAAACCAAAACACTGACCCTTCCAATCAATTATCTCCCAGTGACAGAACAAGCCCTGGAAGGGAGATAACCATCAATCCAAGACAGCAGTCTCTGGAAGGAGGGATCCTTTCCCAAATAAATTCCCCCCAGTGACAGTGAAACTACACATCAATCTTGTCCGTGTGTAAATACAATGGCCTCAGGAGGTTAGATGAACACTGGATTCTGAATGTAGAACCCTCCATCCCTACCCTGTAAAAACTAATTGTCTAATTGATACATTCAGTAAAAAAATATATATATATATATGCCCAGTAAAAACACATTCCAGATGTTTGCAACCTTTTGCCCACGTTTTGTTAAAGTCCTCAAGTTCTAAAACAACCTCCAATGTAACCAAATAGCCCATATAACCAAATAATCAGTGCCATTTTCTACCCAGAAAGTGAGCCCCTCTGACTCCTGACCCTTCTGCTGAATAAAGGCTTTGCTGAATCCGTGAGGTCTGCACCCATCTCAGTCCCTTTTGTGCTTACTAAAGCATTAATGCTAACTCTACTCAAACAAGAGGCCACAGGATAAACTGGCCTGAAACAACAAAATCTGACCTTCAGATATCATGAATACAGGTCTGAAAGAAATTGGCCAAAATTCAGGCCAGGAAAATACTATCCTGACACCCAGGGATCTCCCTGGGTGAAAGCATGAGGTGACTCTCTTTGATTTTACCATTTTGTGTCATCGTTCTTCCATGGCTTCCCTGCCTGTCCACCCAGCCTAATTCTACAATTTGTTTTTATTTCCAGTTCCTTCTTTCTGGGGATTGGTGAATTCAGCTTGGAATCTCTGCTCTGTGGGGAAACGGCAGTCACCAGTCAACATAGAGACCAGTCACATGATCTTCGACCCCTTCCTGACGCCCCTTCGCATCAACACTGGCGGCAGGAAGGTAAGCCGCCATGTTGCTTCTACTGGGAACTGGAGGATGGAGCAGGATCAGTGCTGATTCTGACAGCTGGTCCTCCAGGTCTTTGTCTCTGTGATGAGTTTGTCTTTCCACACTAGCAATACCACAGACCTCAAGTCTGCTGCCAACAAATTTCATCACAGCTAAACTGGCCTTTTTCTCTCTACCTACTCACTGTCATGCTTCTAATTACTGTGTACCTCTTAGAGGTTGCCCGAGGTCCTATTCCTTGGTACCCCTTGAAGATCAGAAAACCTAGTTGCCTCCCTTGCATAAGAGGCTGGGAAAATCCTTCTCTTCTTCTTTTAAACTCGAATGAAGTGAAAAGGAATTATTTTTTTTAACCAAAGTAAAATCAGATGTTTATCATCCTGGAAGGAAAAACAAACAAACAACAATCACCTTAGATGATTTATAAGAAAATCAATAATTAATCTTCCTAGGGGCATCTTGCTGCCTCAGAATCCTAATGCATGCACAGAAATGCTGATTTATGCTGTGCTTTGTGATTCTCATGCTGAAGTCCACCCCACTTTGGGCCCTGTGATGAGGTCCCCTTAATTTGCGGAAGGAGATACTGCCCGAAGGGTCTTCTCAGTGCTGGAATCGAGCATTTCTCTTGCTGCTGCATTTCTATTCAGCTACCTTCTACTCTCGAGTAGGATGTTGAAGGTGGGGGAAAACCTACACACATAGAAAATTGCATTTGAAGGTGATTTGATTGTTGTGAACTCAAGAGGAATGAAAAGTCATTTGTATTTAAAAAAATAGGGTTAAAATTATAGACTCTCATTATCACTGGCTGCTGATTCTCCAGGGTTTGAGCTCACAGGGCTGTACTCTCTCTTCTTTGTAATCTGTTCACTATCCTCACTATAGAGTTTGCAAGTTAATATTTTCCCTTTCTGGTATATTGGAATATTTTTCTGCCATGTAACACACTCTCACTCTCTCTCTCTCTCTCTCTCTCTCACACACACACACACACACACCCCTAATGTCTCAACAAAATGTTGTTAGTGACTTTGACTCAAATCGCAATGAAGCTTTTAAAAGACATTGCACATGAGATCAAGACCACTTCTATAGTATTTGTGTGCTCTTTTAAATATGGCTTGAGAAGATCTTTTTGTTTTTAGAAGGATCCTACATAGGTCATTTGATTGCTCTTCTGATTCTATAGAAAACTAAGCCATTCCAGTGATTGTTTCATTTGCAGTTTTATTTTTATGAACCTTAAAAGAACCTGACATGGCTTCCACACACACCGCTCTCTAAAAAAACGATGAATCCTTCATTTAAAGATGTGAATGTGTTGTGAGTTTTCTGTTCAGTATTTAAGAAAGGAAAGTTGAAGTTCTGGTTATATATTCAAGCATCTTTTCTTTCTTGGAGAGGATGACAGGGGGGATAATTGCACTCTATGCAAAGGGAAAAGCAGTAAAGTCAAACCAAATACAAAAAGTCCAAGATGGAATGGGATTTGAGCCTGAGTTCCAGAATTCACCTGGAATATGGAGAGCAGTGCTAAAGCCTAGAAACCAAAGAGTGGTTGCTGGCTTGGGCATGGGGTACAGAAGGTGGCAGAGGCCACATCTTGGAGCTGCATAAAGGAACTGGATCTTTTCCCTAAAAGTTATAAAATGCAACTGAAGGTTTTTGCTTTGCTTTGTTTAAACATCCTTTGGGAGTAGGATGGAAAGATGTCAAGCTAACACCAACAACGGATTTATATTTCTACCTTGTATCATACTGCTTTAGAGGAAAATGTTGATGTGAAAGAAAGAAACAAATTTCTAGATTCTCCCTCAAATGGAATGGGAAAGAAAAAAAAAAGTGAGAGATGTCCTGATGTGGAAAGTCCTCTGCATGTTATGATTTTGTTGCTGTTGTTGTTTTGGACAAGTGACTTTTTAATCTTTCCAATTCAGCAAAGTGTACCTGATCCAAATCAATTTTCAAAGGCATTGAAGTTTGGAATTTGGGAAACATTTACTTTCGATGATGTAAATATTTATATCTGGCACCATTTGTGTTGTCAGCCGTTTGAAGAGCTGAGAACTAGCTGGCAGTGCCCTTTGCATTCATGAAAAATGGAAAATAAAATATAGATGGTAGCAGGATAAACGACCTGGTAATGAAATGCCTCAGCCTGATAGGCAATAACTAAATCATGCTTGTGTGCTTTTTAGAAGGTGGTGTTTGATGAGTCACTTGTTTTGGAAGTGAGGATTCAGATCACTGCTCTGAATTTAGGTTGGCTTTTTTTTGCCTTAAAAAAAATAGTCAACTCAAAATGTTTAAAAACTACCGTGCTAGACTGGGAGTGTTTTTTTGTAGAATTTAGGCAAGATGCCACATTTTGAAGTCTGAGATCAGCTGTGTCAGTAGGTTAAATGCACCCCGGTAACTGTGTGTTTTGTGTCACATTTTTATCTGTGAACATTATTCCTTCTGGCATTTAAATATGTCTTATGCACAAAACCATGAAGCAGCTCTGCCACAGCCCCCGTTGTGTGTTCTTGTGTTTGTTTTAACATATTTGACCTGACAGGGGGCTTTTCTTAGCTTAGGCTAGGGCCAGAATTCAACCTCAACACAAGAATAGCAAGGAATGATAAGAGATGAGAGTCCAAAATGCACTGTGACTTGGGCATGATAGAAAATGTACATTTTTACCTAACAATGAGAATTCTTTCACCCTTTACGTTGCTTACTTTCAATGGTAGTTCTTATGCAATGTTTTGTTGATGTTGTTTTGGTTTGTTTTGTTTCTGGTGGGGACCATTTTTATGGAACCATGTATATATGACACATAGGACTCTTAAAGATGGAATCCAGAATAATTGTATTTTTTGAAATGACCTTCCTTTAAGGTTGGTTGCATGTGGATGTCAGAATCCTACCTTAGAATCAATCTCTCACTCCGTTCCCATTAAACTTACATTGTAAAATGCTAAATGGTTTGGAGCTAATTAATCTGTTTTAGATAAAGCTACTGAATTGACTCAAGATATTAAAATAAAAAATGGGTGACAGACTTCTAAGGACATCTAATACCAGTTTTATGGATGCAGCCTGTCACTCATTGAAGGTGGAATCTCTTGGATCTGCCACCTCTGGGGAAGATGAAGGTGGTGGAAATAATAGACATACCTTGTGACAGGGTCAGATAAAACAAGCAAAAGAAGAAGGAAATTGACCTTCACTTGGACTTATCTCAAAGAGGAAGCAGTTCCCCCATCTCTTCTGGTTTCTTTCTTGAGTTTTTGCCCAGTGGAGGCCAAGAACATGGTTCTTAGGGAGAGATCCTAGGCACCTACTACTGTTGCCATCAGTTTTCTTTGGATTACTTGCAGCTTCCATCAGGAAGAGCCTCAGCAGAAGACAGGGAATGTGTAAATCGGGTGAGTCTTAAGGACTTTAATTCAGAGGGATCCTTTATAGCCACCAGGGTTCTAAAGGGAAGAGGGGAGGGAGTTAGGAGCCAGAACCTGGGGACAGAGAAAGCTGTGGAGAGGGACACCTGACTTTTAGTAAGGAAAAAGGCCAGCTCAGTGCAACCCACAGGGATGCGTCTGGGGAGTAAAGACCTGGGCCTCTCTCCTTCCCCTCCCCTCTTCTGCCATCTCCCCTTGGAAAAAAGTCAGTGTGCAAAGCCACGGGATGATTGTGTCTGTGTAAGCCAGCCTCAGAACCACGGTGCATGGTGAAGGGCCAAACGGAAGACATATGGCATCTCCACGTTTCCCGAGAAATAAATATGAGGCACTAAAACTCCTCATCACCTAGAAATTGAGATGCAAATGCTTCTGCTTGGCACTCACAACACTTGAAATTCAGCCCCAAATCTCCTTGCTGGAGACTTATGCCACTTATACTTTGTGTGTACCTCTTATGCCCTGGGAAATACTTAAAAATAAAAAAATCTAAAAAAATAAACTGGATGTATCTCACCTTTTCCTGGAATCTGTGCCTTTGCCACAATATGCCTTTCCCCTGACAAGTCTCAGGACTCCCTTTTAATGAAACTCCTCTTGGTCTCTTTAGCCAACTGTGGCATCTCTCTTCATTTGACTTCTTAAGCATCTATCTTATTTATTGTCTTTTAAGACTTCAGCTTTGATCTCTCAAGAGATCATATTTTTATTTTCTATCTCTAGTGTTATCTGTGATGATGCTGGATGATTTGAACTGAACAAGGATTACCCTTGATTATCAATAAAAAGGTTTATGTGGAATTAGTCCATAGTTGCTAAGATTTAAAGTTGGGGAAATGTACAGTGCCCCCATGATGAATAGTTAACTTTGCTACCAGTGGAATTTGTCACTAAAGCTAAACCTCAGATATTGTGCTTGTCATAGAATATTAAAATAACTTAGAAAAGTAAAGAATGTTGACTTTTATATGTAAAATCTTATTCACTTCTCTATCTTGAAATTTCCCCATGCTCATAGTAAAATCCAGCTGACTATAATTAATCATTGCTATTCATGGTGTGTTGACATTGCTATGTTCTGAAAGCTTTTATGGGAGAGGCATTTATGTTCCTCCAAGGGATTTATAATATATTTGGGGTGAAAATATAGATACACAGAAGTTAAATGGCAGTAACTGATTTAAGCAACTATTTGAGATAATAGCAGAGTAGGTAGTAAAGAAGCTGTGACATGATTAATTAGTGAGTCAATCATTTTGGCACTAATTTTTAATGGGGGTAAGAAGCTGGGTTGGACAGACCAGGCTTTATGGATGTCTAGGATACAAGCTAGCTTGAATAGGTAGGTAGGATGAAATATAGTTTTCAGGAGGGTCTATAAATGTCAGATTGTCTGGCTAGAAGAGGCGAAGAAAAGGTAAAGATAGATCCATTTTGCCATCTAAATTTGTTTCTGTGACACTGTTTTTGATTGGATAGCTGCTGTTAAATTCCTCAACCATTTAAAACTCAGTAGCCATCTTTAAGCACCATGACCCTTTT